TATTCCTGTTTTAAATTTTACCCTTCCATTTTATCATTGTATTGTATTATATAATTGTGTAAAGCACTTTGGTCCTGTTGGGTGCATAAAGTGCTCTATAAATAAAGTTGGTATGGTATGGTATGGTAAATATAAAAGTAGCTAATAGTCATGGGGATTTTTTTTCTGAAAAAAAAAAAGGCCCATTTTGGCTCCGCTTGCTAAAAAGCGACGGCTCTTTCAATCCTCAGACGAAGAGCTGGTTCTGAATCGACTCTCTTGTGTCCGTCTCAGAACTACTGGAGCTAAACTTGTAGCTAAAATGAGCAAAAGGCTAAACAAAACGCAGAAGAAGACAAAAACCGAGCAAGTGCGATGAAGCAGATTTAAAAGTTTCGAAAGATGTATTTTAATGTGAATTTACTCTGAGTTTTATAATCGCATACTTCTCTGTGTTTAGTTGCAGAGCTGGTATTTGGATCAGATGAGGCCCTCTCTGCGCAGCGACAGAATCCAGACAGCAGGGGAGGACAAAGACCTCCTGCAGGAGAGCTTGGAGGCCCACAGCTGGGCTGCAGAGGTGCCCTGGAGTGAGTAAACTCTATAACAGACACACTGAACAGGTTGGGCAACTTTCTGCTTCGCCAGAACAAAGTCTGGCATCGTTCTCGACTCTGAGCTTTATGATGTCACGTACCGGAGGAAGGATGCTCCCTGGAATGTGGACGCTTTATAAGCACGGTGAGACATCGTTCTACTTTTATCACCCGTTTCCTTGGAACATTTATGGCTCAATTATCTTTTTTTTTCTTTCTACTTGACATTTGAGAACACTTTAAGATTTGGAGTGACATCTTAACCGTCCCCTTCTTTACTCGCTGCTACGTTTTATCACTTAGCAAACATGCCCCACAAAACAGCTGCAAAGATTTTTTTTTTCTTCCTCCCCCACCCCAGATAACGAAATGTCATGTAAGTCGCTTGTCTTAACTCTCAAGTTTGACTTTGGCAGCAGTCTCTCTTTTTGACTGACAGTCCCACGAGCGATACAGCTCCATCAAAAAGCGCAGCTTGACAGTTTGATATGACAGGCCTCTTCAGACCCAATACACTCCTTGTTCCTGGCAATACATCATCTTGACAAAAAAGAAACGTGCTTAACAAAAAAAGTGATCTGGCCGCCTGATCATTTTGTTGTGGAAAAACTGATGAAAGCATCACGTTAACCTGCTGATTATGTTTGTTTAAGACTTTCACTCAAAATATGGCTGTTTGTTTCTATTTTACTATAGTATGATTCTAAGCTGATGCAGGAACGATTTGGCATGTATTTTATGTAAAATATACCAAAAAGTATTGTTTGTTCTGTACCTGCACAGATAATACATTAGGAAATGCATCATAATAGCGAAATGTAAAAATACAAAATAAATAAATTAAATATGCATCGCTCACCTAGCTATTTATTAACCTTTATTTAATCAGTGGAAGCCCGTTGAGATCTTTTGCATGGGAGGCCTGCGCCTGAAGGCAGCCCAACATGCATGTTTTTGGTCTCTGGGAGGACACCGAAGTACTCGGAGTAAATCCACGCAAACACGTGGAGAACATGTAAACTCCATACAGAAAGACCCCAGGTCCAAACTGGGGATTGAGCCCACAACCTTCTCTAAGCACTACCGTGCTGCTCTTGAGCTACTTGGAGTGCTGGATGGGAAAATGATACTTGACAGCAAGAAAATTAGTCAAAAAATAAAAAATAAAAACGCACAAGGTGCTTGCCATTGTCAAAGTCTTCACTTTAACACTTGTGTCAACAATGGTGTACCACAAGGCTCAGTCTTAGGACGC